TTCCCGATATTCACGATACACTCGTGAAATTGTCATAAGAGAAAAAACAAATCTCATCGCGACCTTGGAGGTGCTTTGCTCCATCTCTCTTGCCGCTACTGTAACACCACGTTCAAACTCACTTAAATCGTTATAAACTGTCATTGAAGCTGTCATTGTCACTAATGAAACTGTCATTGTCATTAGGTAGTGACCGACCTAACAACTGTGCCAGACTCTGGTTGTCTTATATAGTCGTTGTCGACCGGTTCTGATTGGTTCCAGATCTCTTTTCTTCAATACACATGGTTGTACCGGTTTTTGACTCTTCAGTGTACGAAACGTCATTACAGAATACAACAGAGATATTTTGTATATAAGAATTCGTGGAAGAACAGGAAACAGCCAATATAATGAAATGTAATATAAATCGTGATGACAATTCTAAACGTGTCGCACTATTTCGCAAGTTACCTTGGTGACGCGGGTAGGAACATTGCGAACTCCCGCGATACAATATTCAGTATATTAACAGGACTAATGATCATTGAAATTATCGCGCTCGAAAAAATACGGTCAAATTACTTTTGCTCAGAAATAAAACAAAAATAAGATGGACGCACATCCCAATAAAGAACCGATTAACACCTTCAACAAACTACGCTTCCCCAAGGAGCACCTACAGGCAAGGTCTGTCTGTACTGACACAACCGCTCCTGACGTGCCCAAGGCCGATTAGCGACATCATATGGCCTTTCGACCATACGTGTGGTTAGCACGTAGGTATCCGTACGCCGTATTCTTGTCTTCTCAACCTGAAAAGTGAGCTTCCTCATCGTTACATTTCAACAGATACTGGGATATTGCGAGGAAAGCACACACTATAATCTACCCCGACCGGGAATCAAACCTGGGATTGCGCCATGGAAATCGAGCACGCTGACCAGTGAGCTCCCCGTGGGGCTACCTACAGGCATCGTCAGAAAAATATTAATTGTGATTTATAATTGGTTATACTTCTAGACGTGAAATATTCTGAATAACACAACAGTTACAGCAAGTTTTATTTCATAAGTGACTTTTTCGTATCCTTGTGATTGGATGTCTGTACCCTAGTTGCCTTTCATTATAGTTTTAGATATCGATTATTCAGGGATTGAGGATTTACGGATGGATGATTATTACGTTTGTAACAAACTTTTTCAATATAAATATTCTAAGTTTGCAAATCTCAATACAAATTAATATTGGAAACATAGAAAGGAGCTTTAAAACTTAAATTAACATATCCTTAAAGAGTAGTTGTTTCCTAGAGTTGCAGTCTATATGTCTCCACCAGCCGTATTAGTAGTGTTCTTGAAAACTATTATCGGTTGAATTGAAACAGCGTTTCCCCTTTTGTTATATTATTTTTAGAACAGAGAAATTTGAGAAAATATTTGGGAAAGAGTTAATTAGTATTTTACGTACGTTTTAACAAACTAATTATAATATGTACGTTTTAATAAACTAAGATTATTCAAGTATGATTGTATTTCTCTATTTTTTTACATTTTCTAATAATATTTGGGCTATATCTTTGTTTTATAAAGTGAATTAATTATATTAAACATCCCGCTGAAATGGTTCCGGCTAGTGACAACGCATCATATTCTTGCCTCCAAAGCACGAGATGGTTTCAACGCAACCTTTGTTACACAGATGTTAGGGAGGTTGCGTCCTGTTTTGTTCCTAGGCGCGAGGAACACAAAGTTCTTAATAGTAAAATGAAATATACTGTCAGGTGGTTTAGTTAATGGATTTTCATCGCCATTTACAACACTAAGACACGCAGTGAAGGTGAATGAGGTCGATGGTTATTACTAGAAAGAAGTTGATTTTTTCACCAAGCAAGGAGTAGGAAATATTTCCATTCGCACATCCACGGCATTAGCAGAATTTCAAGTTTCGCGTCTCAACGTACACACCCACTCACATACATATACACACACCGCTAATTTTCACTCCCATATTCGAAGTTATAAACTAAAAACTACCACGGCCTCCATCATAATTGTTTGTTACTTTCATCGTTATTGATGATTAATCGGTGAAGTGATTTGTAAGACTATTAAAGTAGAATATAATAGAAATAATTAGAAGGGAGTGAATATGTACTCACCAAAAAAGTGGAAAATATTGTATTTCGAATTTTGTTCGATCAAATGTCCTTCATTATTAAAGTGCATATATGCTACATCGGGGATGTTCAACTTGAAAAGCCTCAAGGGCAACAACTAAAATTCTTAATATGGTTGAGGCTCATATTTTCAAACCTCGGGCGATCCACACCTGACTTCCCCGTATTGTTGATCTCGGCAGTTTGCCCGGCTGCTGAGGAATGGGAAGGGGATGGGGTGGAACCCTGCGTATATCAGGCCGAACCATGAAGTGAAAGCACATTGGGATGATCTTGAATTTCTGAATTTACTAGAAATATCCTATAAATCTAAACTTAACCTATTTTTACATTAAAGTGGGCAGTTGTTGATCTCGGCAGGGGCGTGCGATAGACGCACAATGGACTCGCCCGACATGAACGAAAGATATTTTCACTTTCCATTATTAACCTTTCGCGCGGCCGTAATAAATGGTACGGCGTGTTGCTAGTTGGATAACCATGATAAACATCTAGTTTGAAATAACTCAGAATGAGTAGAATATAATGAAAAGGAAAGAGGTTCAGAATATGGAGAAAGTATGTTTGGCGAAAAACATGTTGGACATTTCGTCACGCAATGCAGGCGAAATATGAAAAACGACCACCACCCAGAAAGTCATCGCGCTGGTTAAACCACATAGTTTGTATTGGGCCCCGTGTGTGAGTGAGTGAGGATTATTTCCGGACACGTCAACTACTAGACATTGTAGCTGTTGGTAGTAGTGCGTAATATAGTCCGGGAGATGGAGATGTTCCTCCTCTATTGTAACGTGAGATCTGATGCCAACCATAAATATTTGTTTGTAGATTTCCCCCCTTCCAAGTATATTCCCAGCCGGGACAAACTATCAGCTCTCAATTGGTGTCTGTATGTGAGTCGTAGATGTAAGCGTGTGTGTGTGTATTAAAAATTAATGAAAAGGTGTCATGAATGAGGAAGGAAAATTATGGCCGGTCTTAGGCTTGTTTGTACGGATACTGCCTAAATTCGCCTACTATTGATCTGAGAAACCACGGGAAATATCCGATTAGAGCAGCCGCCTGCTAGAATTCTCCTCCAGTTGCATTCGAGCCAGCCATGGCTCATATGAAGGCCACTGTCGTGTCGACGCGGCACCACTCGACGCTTTGCACGCCGACGGCAGAGCTCTCCACCGCCAAATGACGGAACTATGCGCGTCTTTAAGAGCCTCCGCCGGGTTGTTGACCGCTTTCCTTCACTTGTTCCACTTTAAACTTTGTTCGCCCGCCACTCACCAGGCCGCGCCGCCACGTCAGCACTTGCAGTTGGGCGAGCTTTCCCCCTCACGTGCAGTGCATTAGTTATTGCTTGCTCTTCTGCCCTTTTGGCAGGCTGGTTCTTCTTTTTGCTCTCATAAATTCCGTGTCCCAACGGGGTCGTCAAAGGTTATTGGAATACGAATATACAAATATCTAAGAAAAAAGTCATTCCTTAATATACCATTGGCATTATAATTATACCATTGGTCATACATGACATGTTATTTCCAGGTTCTCCTAATTTCATTGAAATAAAAAGTAAGATTGTAGCTTACTTACTTAATTTTTGTTTTAGGGAAGAAAGCCGTAAGAAATAAAACTCAAAGCCAGCTAGAAAAGACGTATATAGAAAAACTCAGTCATGCACAGAAAAATCTGGATAAAAATCAACAAATAGTTGTGTGTGGGTAAATTCATTTGAGAATAAAACTATTCGAATACGCGTGCGCCCACGGGGGACGGAGAGGCCTTGGCCTCCTGAAAGATGGGGAATGCTTATAAGGTGTTGTTGACAAAATTAAATGATGAAATAATTGATATCATGTTTGTCCACTCAGATGTAATGAAGACAAGGATGACTTCAATTACTTCATCTCCCTAAAAATATTAAAGGGGGACCGTTGCCGTAAGAAATAAACCATTTTATTTCCTGAAATATGTTGAATCCCTGATTTTAACCAATTACTAATCTAGTACTGGGGGAGCATGAATACTGTCAAGAAATCATCAATGGCTAAATAAATTCCCAGGCTGTCACTTGTCGCACCGTCGACCGCTCAGCCTGCCTCGGGCGAGCAGACAGTCCCACTTCTATTCCAATTTAAAAAGTGACACTTCAAGATCACGAGTTGGAAGGGTAGGGGGAATTTGACATCCAATAGGGATCTCCAATTCCAAAAATCGTATTGTATGATAGAGGACCCGTAATCACGGACGTTACGTCCCGATTGATTGACAGTGTTCCTCTCTACGTCCAGCTCGTCACCTTGAAATTTTTTTATCGGGGTAGTTGCACGTTAATTTTTATTGGGGAGAATCAGCATTGTAACGTTGATTCAATTTTTACACCCCAAGGTAGATATCACAGGAGGATGGAATGAAATTGTTATGATGATGGATGATGAAACAGATTCACACAACACAACCATGCCCGAGGCGGGACTCGAACCCGCGATCCTTTGGTCCGAGACTGCCACTGCACTGAACGATATCAGTCATCGGATTGGTTCTATTATTATTATTATTATTATTATTATTATTATTATTATTATTATTATTATTATTGTTGTTGTTGTTGTTATTGTCATTGCCATTGTCATTGATATTACTACTACTACTACTACTACTACTACTACTACTACTACTTTTATTATTATTATTATTATTATTATTATTATTATTATTATTATTATTATATTTTTGTCATATCCTAAGCATAGAAATACATTTTGGTCCATAAATAACGCATAGCACTGCACATGAAGCACTCTTGCCTTCCCCGTGCCCCTTGCATTGCCTGCCGGGCTGGGTGGGCGAGGCCATGCGGAGTGACCGGGAGGAACGTACAAAGAGAGGCCGCTCCGGGCCGGCGCGCCGCGGCGCTCGCGTTCGTGCGGGGGCAATAGCTGCCCGGCGAGCGCCTCTCGCCTCGCGCCTCTCGCCTCTCGAGTGGCGCGCGTTCCGCTGGCGCCGGCGCTGGCGCTGGCGCAGCTCGAGGGCGCCGAGTGGCCGGGCGGACGAAGGGCTTTCGCTCAACGAGGCAGATGCAGCCCTACGCCGCTGCCCGAGCGAGTGCACGGGTGTTGTTGCTTTTGTTACAGCTGTTGCTCTTGTTGCCGCGGGTACTTGTTGCTTTTGATGGTGTTGTTGCCGCTATTTCGCTTCTTTTGTTGTTGTTGTTGTTGTTGTTGCTGTTGTTGTTGTAGCTATTTCTGTTGCTTTTATTGCTGTTGCTGCAGTTACGTCGTTGCATTTGTTGCTGATAATTTTACTGTTGTTGCTTTGCTTAAGTTGCTTCTGCTGGTTTTTTGCTCATATCGTTTTTATTTCTAAAGGTTTTGCTCTCTTTAGTGCTCTTCCTGCTTCTTTTGATTTTGCTGCTTCTGATACGATACCTGCAGTGCTTCTGTTGTTGTTCCTGCTTTTGTAAAAGCAACCGTTCAGTTGTCCGTGGCATCTACGAAGTACCCTGACATGTTGAAGTTAGGTGACTCGTTTACGCGTCAGAGTTTACACCTCTATTTCCTAGCTCAACGTTGGCCATATTCATCCACTGTTACTGACTGGTTAAAAAGCATCATGCGACAAACGGGACAATTTTGACCTTCGACGGCTTGCGACTTAAACTGCTTAAGCCTTTATAGGTTTACGTACACAAACGTTCAGTTAAGGTGTACATGTTAATACAGTATACAACTTCGCGTGATGTGATCGCCCACATTCATGTCATTCATAACTCCTATGTTAATGACAGTGCAAAATCTGGCAAAATTTTGGATGGGGGTTCAATCGCCTGACAATCTCGACAAGCGATCGATGAAAGTTGTGTACGAATTTCCTACTAAGGACGCACGAGATTTCATAACTATGTGCTAAAAGTAACTTCGAAAGGCTCATTGTGAATGTTCTGGTTTTTAGATTGGCTAGGCTGCGCAAATGAATGTATGTTTTTTTATTTATATGTATTTTGATAGCCTATTTGCGTTTGTTTCTGCGTGATCGTGTTGACGGGGCACGTAATAACAATTGTAAGGAAATGAGTCTCTCAAGAAAACGCAGAGTCAAAATATAAGGCAAAACATATCTTTGAAGCGTAATTAGTTTTGTAAGTGTGTTTGCATTGATGAATATTTGGTGTCCAACCATCCGCGTCCAATAGGTGTTCAATCATCCGCGAGGAAACGAACTCGGGGAGGTTTCGAATATGCGGATCTAAACTATTTTTCACATGTGTGAAAGCTTTCAGGTCGGCTATGTCTGTGTAGAGTAGAAAGTATTGAAGTCGCGAATGCGTATTGATATACGTGGTAAATAAATCGCAAGGATGTCACACTAGAACTCTCTAACAATAAAAATATTGTGTATATTTACAATTATTCCCTGAGGTTCAGAATAACGTAAGTCCTTGAACCTCTACCAGCAATCATAATTTCATATTTCTCACTCCCATTCTCCCTCTCTCGTTGAATTCCTTCCTCCTTCTCCCTCTCTTACTCTCCCTCTCTCTTTCTACTTCTCCCGCTTTCTCTTTCTGATTGCCCTTCTCGCTTTCTCCTTGCCCCTTCCGCTTTCTCCTTGCCCCTCCCGCTTTCTCCTTCTCCCTCTCTCTTTGTCCTTCTCCTTCTCCCTCTTTTTGTCCCTCTCTCTTTGTCCTTCTCCGTCTCTTTGTCCTATCCCTCTCTCTTTGTCTTTCTCCCTCTCCATCTCTGTTTGTCCTCCCTCTCCCTCTCTTTCTCCTTTTCCTTCACCTTTCTCTCCCTCTCTTTCAGTCTATCACATTTTCTCTTTCTTGCTCTTTCTCTCTCTTGCTCTTTCTCTCTCCCTCCCTCTCATTCTCTTTCTTTTTCTCTCACCCTCTCTTTATTCCTCTCCTTGTTTCCTTTCCCCGTCTCCGCATTAATCTGCAAATACAATTGTTCGTGCGCTTAACCGCAGTATTCCTAACAACCTCCAGCCCCTCTTAATTCGATGCTATTAGACCGTTACCCGTCACTGACACACTCCTCTCCCCACCACCCAGCCACGGCCAGTGGGAGGCGAGTCAAACCGGACAAACATCGAAACAAGTTGCAGGGTGTTGAGCTAATACACATACTTAGTAATTTAGTCCCAGCGTTTCATGTCGCTGTAACAATTTAATTGCTTTGCCGAACAAACAACCGCCCCCGTGCCCGGGCGGTGCGTTGGGGAGGGGAATTGGTGGGCGGTACCGCCGACTGCCCCCAGTGTAATTGCGCCCGACATTTGCACCTCTCGAACAGTTGACACAGAACGATATTCATGGAACGAGTCGAGATTTCATGGAATACGTCGAAGGAATAAAGGCTATTTGCTCCTTCTTTAGTTTGGGCTTAATTTAAATGGAAGTTTTTGGATCTTAATTCGATCAAGAAACGTAGTATTATTGTGTCACTGTAGGTTTAACTGCAGCGGCGATACTGCAAACTATTATTTTAATTTTTCTAATAATTATTGTACTATGTAAATGGTCTCAACATTAAAGCATATTTAAATGTAAAAAATGTGTGTACAACAATACAGGGATTAAATACATGATTCTAAACCACTATACTGTTGCTCTCAGATCAAAGAACCAAAAATGAATTGAAAGGGAAATATTAATCTGTTACTTAATGCGCTATTTACATTAATCAACTTTCAGCAAGGAAATATTTAAACTTAGTGTTTTAAACTTAGAACGTCCTACAAATATTTATCATTATGAAGTCAAGATACATAGAAATTATACAGCAAATTTTCTTTTAAAATTCATAACAAAAGTGCATGCTCGCTCACGATCGTGCACACGCAAGCACACCCCTGAAGAAAATTTCATAACGTAGGTACCAACATAGATAAAGACTATGTCGCATCCCAGCCAATATGTTTGTAGTAAATTGTTTTATGAAAGTACGAGTAATTATGAAAAATGGCACACTTCGTACAGAGCTCTGTTGACGGTTGAAAATAGAGAATGTCATTTCACGAGGAGCAGTTCACAAATGTAAAATCGATTAACAAGACAATCATTCTACTACTGGCTGACTTTCATTCACAGCCAGCATTTCCAGCACAGCCAGCATTAACAGAGTCTGCACCGACTCTGTTAACGAGATCCTAAGGTTCAATTCCCGACGGTAGCTAATTTTCGATATTAGCTACTGAGCTAGAATAAATTCAGTCGCTGTGTCGAGGTGAATTCTAGAAGTCGGCTGCTCTGATATGTATGTTTTCGTGGTTTATCTGTTTAACATGAGGGAAATGCTGTAGCAATACCCGACCATACTACCACGGAACACCCGTGATCTCGCTTTCCTCTACCTTATCCTATGTTCTCCCCTTCGGTGGCTTAAGTGCATCAACTGATGCCAGGAACCGGGAGGTCCTAGCGTTCGAGTCCCGATGGTGGCAGTATTTTCGACACTAGCCAGATGGGTAGGTTGAATTCTGTCGCTGTCTGCAGGAGAATCCTAGTGGGCAGCTGCGTTGATCGGTAGTTTTTCGTTGTTTCTTCGATCAGCACCAGAGCAATGACGGAACACTACCCAAACAAATAGCCAACTGGCTTTCCTTCCTCTTCCTTGTCTTATCCTCCCCCTATACTTACAACCCCTTAAATGTACTACACTACCACACATGTCAGAAGACTAGCCGGAAGCTTAGAGCACATCCTGGCAGGGGAATGCTCTACTGGTTGAAGTTACCTGATTGGGGAATATCCCGCAAGCAGACTGTCGGCTCCAATCTCCTCATCTAGGGGGAAAGATCACGCGTCACGGCTCTTAATAAACATTCACTACATTTACGGGATGAAAGACCATAGAACATGACGTGTTCGATTACATAAATTGATCGTTTGAATCAAATTTGCACACACTTACACGCACAAAACTACCACGTATGCCGGGAAACCAGCTTCTCCCGATTGTGGGGATGCCTCACCAACTCCAGACATGAGATTGTGTTCATGACACTAATGGAACTATTGACCATAGTAATACATGTGCCCGGAAACAATTAATAAATTAACACTCACTCTATTATGCACATTGTCAGATGCACGAATGCATCGTCCATCAACACACCACGTCACCTTTACTCATTTCTGTTTCGTTTGACATTCTAACAACTTTCTTCGTGATACACAGGTTGTATGTTGTGTGTGTAAATAATCTTTCATATACATCTTGGTTCACAAAAGTTGGGATAGTACGGATATAAGAGCGTGTGTATGCAACGACTTAACGCGCGGCGGTGGTGTAACGGTTAGCGTAGCGGAGTATTGCACCCAAGTTGTCGGGTTCGATCGAAGCCGTGGATTTTTAAGGGCAAAAAAATCCTTCGTACGCCTTACTTCGGAGGGGACGCAAAGCCGGATGTTCCATGTTAGTAGGTTTACTTGCATGTAATATGTCCTCAAGATTAAATGACGCTTCTGAGCTAAATTCAAATAGCCTATTTCTCGCCCAAGATATAACCTTTCTCTGCAGTTGGTGAAAGGAACGTAGCAAAATTTGCGTGGTCAGACAGAAGAGCTGGCTCCACGTAAAATAAGGCCTTAATTCATTAATTCAATTCAAATCCTGACTTGGCTTTGTCATGTACCTCTTCACGCTTCTTTCCGGCTGGATAGAATTATGAGAGATTGTCACTCTTAAGACACTCCCCTTCACTTCTAGTTTCAGAGGCCGAAGAACATCAGAGAGCGTCAATTACGGGACGCTGCCCAATTTGGTAGGCCCAGAGCACTCTACCTGTTTGATTAAACCTTGCAGCAAGCGATATTAACGCCCCACCGAATACAGGAGCTTCTCTTCGCCTCGTCTCTTGGCCGTTCTCTTCCTCTCCACTTCTATTCGAAGCCTCTAGGCACGCTATCTCATCGCATCCAGTGTCTCCTTTTACACGAGATTGCGTGCCTACGTAATGCGACATCGCCGCTATTATCTGGGAGAACTGCATGGCTATTGTGTCGAGCTTTGTCACATGCTCCCGGAATCTCCAGAAGGAGAGGCGCGTACGTGAGAAAGGCGAATACCGTACTCGTGTAGACATACGGAAGTTGGAAATATTTGTAATATTGCACGGGCAAGTAATTTTCACATAGAAGAGGACAGAGAGAGAGGGAGGACTGTAAAAGGGAAGAGAGAGGCTTTCGGAGAGAGAAGCTTTCTGGAGAGGAGCAAGGGAGGCAGACTCCGGAAATTGAGGGAGGATGCCTTGACGCTCGTCCCAAACACACAATAAAATCCACCGTAAAGTTACAAAATGAATACCGTAGCACGTTGATTATCCAAAGCAATTGGGTACTGGGGGTATTCGGATAATAGATCTTTGAAGGTAAACGAAGGTTCAAAAAAAAACTCCCAACGCGAAATGTAACAATACATTGTCTACCAATATAAATGTTCAAAATATTGGGAAGGGCCATGATGTAATTCTACTATGACAACTACGTAGTAATAATACACAAATTAATAATGAATTAATTATATTAAGTTAGAACACAAAATCAGAGTATCAATATAAGTTTAAAAATACTTTAATCATTTATAAATATACGCACATAACGTAAAAAATAACTAGATTTGTGTAAACAGCACGTTCATTTTTGCATTAGTAACGGTTACGTAATATTACAATAAACAATATTCGTCCTTATTAAAACATCTAAGTCATCACTTGTAAAGCTTGCATGTCATAGAGCATTAGATGCAAGAACTAATTATTTTGAAACTAAAATATCAACACAAATTCGACTACCCAAAACTATTTCACACAAACATAAACAATGCCCATAAATGGGACGGAATCTCCTTGAACTTGAAACTAGCGTGTCGTGGCATTTCATTATCGAATTTTGAGCTAGTATCACATAAAAGACTCTAGAGAACGAATCCCGGTATACTCGAATGTGTAATTTCTATTTGCAAAAATTAGGCAAAATTACTCATATTTTCAAGAACTTTGGATGACCTTATTTGAAGATCTGTTTTAAAGAACAGATTTCATTAAATAAAAACTCTCTATCATTAATATCGAAATTTTACAATAGTAATTATTTGTAGTTTTAGAAAATATCGGGAGTTTACCAAAAAATGAGTCATGTCAATTTTAAAAGTGTATTTTACTCTATTCGAGCAAAAAATTGAAGGAAAAATTGTGATTCATTTTTGTGAATATCCTTTTCAATGTTGTCAATATTCCATGCAAATTTTGACGAAACCACCTGTGTTTTATTTTATTTTAGGCGACCTTATTTAAATATCCTTCTTTGGAGATCATATTTCATTAAATAAAATCTACGATATTGTAGTAGTGAGAAGATGTCAAAATTTTTTACTTTGGTAATTTTCGAAAAATCAGAGATTTCAAAAAATGCATCTTACACATTTTACGCTATCCCACTATACAATTGAATAAAAAATTGTAGCCATTTTTTCTTTCACGCCATACGAATTCTTCGCAAGAATTGAAAGTTATGTAATCGTGGGCCAGAAAAGGCCAACATTTTTTCATATTGAAAATATTGTAAAGGCTACACGTTAAGTCACGCCCAAACTGTACATTTAAAAATTCAAGGGGCCACGACGTGAGACAAATTGATCGTGGAATGTCAATTTTATTGAAAACCCTACTTACGGTTTAGCCGCTAGCTTTGTTTGCGGACGGACAGGCGTTTGCTACCAACCAATTTATCTCTCTCAATGACCCACAAATCTGTCCGTTCGCCTATCCGTCTGTCCCTCTATCTGTCCGTCTATCCGTCCGCCCGTCCATATATCCCTCCGTCTATCCACCTGTCCGCCTTCTCTTGATCTGGCTGACTCATTGTCCCTTTGTGAACAACTCTAGTGCAAAAAACAAAAAACAGAAATGGGAAAAAACCGATTAATATTAAGACTTCTGAATTTTGAAAACTTTTTATTTTTCTTCCAAACCTAACCAATACATTCATTATCGAAGCTATACATTGTTTTCTTAATGTCATTTGTTTGTCAAAAATAAATTGTGAAATTATTACGTGTAGAGTGTCAACAATTTAATAGTTGTAGCGTATTATATGTTATTGATAAAATGGCCCCAACATTCTTTAAAAGAATTTTCTCCAAAACAGCTTCAGTGATTTTCCTTGGGCATTTTCTACACGTATGAAGATCATTGAACTAGGGCACAAGATTGAAGCGTCAATTAATTTTTAAAAGTTTTTAAAAATTACTCATACGTAATTCTTTTCTCCTCCCGGTGCGTCTAACATTTGGATTGCAGATATATTTTTGAATGTATTGCTTCAGATGATCTCTGAAAATGGTTTTTGACATCTTAAATAGCTGTGGAAATTTCATTTCAATGAAAATATTTGGGGACCATAAAACGGGAAAAAAGACATAAAGGATACGTTTTAAATCGATAAAAATAAATCCGGAAAAATAGACATTACAGTTAAGAAATATAACCCTTGTGGTAATTGAGAAGTTCTTTTCTGGAGAACAACTTTTTCTGTAGGATTACTGAGTTTTGAGGAATATATTTGTCAGTGAGTTTGAAGATTATTCTTTTAATTTAAGGAAACATTCGATCGGCGGTTGCAGGCTGTTGAATTGTGTTGAAATACATTCATATGTTTAGTTGCGGTGCTCCAAAATAATTATTGGTCATGTGTGGTCTTGTGTCACTGTACAATACTTTACATGTACTATACAAGAACCTTCAAAATTAACATGAATATGAGTTCCAGGATGATAATATGTTGCACGAGAGATTTGAAACATTAGAAGAACATAATATGTACGTTTAATGTATATAATTTGAATTTTCCGTAACCCTCATACGTAATATGATAAGTAATGCGTTATGCAGTACCGCGTCCAGTTTAATTTGCGGTAGAGTAATGCAGACGGCGAAACTACACCTTTCTTACAGTATTTTATTCATTGCAGTACTGAACATTTAAAAACATATTTTGTAAGTATTCACTCACTATTTGTGTGCTTTCTTCATTTCAGAAGTAGGAAGGCGATTCACGCCAGTTTGCCCAGCTGCTGCAGCTCGGTGGCTTCCGCCCCTCGCCCGCCGCCACGGCTCGTGCCCGACGCCTAGTCGGTAAGCTTTCGCGAGTCTCGAGCGCCGGCTGTGTGCGGGAGCGTCTGCCCGGGACGTGTGCGATGTTGCACCAGGAAATGAACAGGTGACGTGCTAATTTCGCAGGAAATAGAGTTCTGTGTAACAAAGCGTCCCGGGGCTTACACGCGCGCGCGAAGTGACAGACTCGTCGCTGGGCGCAGGTAACCGGTTCCGTGCGGCGTTTTCGTTCCGAGGAACGTGCGGACCTGGCTTTTGGAGCGTTCTCGGAGGTGTGGTCGATATCCACGCGTGACATTTCGTGTTGTACCCCTGGATTTCTAGACTCTTTTAATGTTTCTCACCGGCTTAGGTGGCTCAGGGCATCAACTGATGCCACTGCAGCGCCTGGGAGGTCCTAGGGTTCGATTCACGACGTGGAAGGATTTTCGACACTAGCAAGATAGTAGAGTTCAGTCCTGTCTAGAGAATAATTTAAGTGGCCGATTGATCTGAACGGTGGTTGTACTTTCAACATTAGGTGAAATGTGTTGTACAGAGTTATGTGAGTTCTAATTTGATCACAACGTACACTGTACTTGCAGAATTTAGACAAGAATTCGCCTACATACAAGTATGCAATGTCACGTTTGTGTTTACACGACAGATCACATTTTATATAATTAATTAATTTATAAATTAATAATTTGATTTGAAGTATTTTATTTATTTATTTATTTATTTATTTATTTATTTATTTATTTATTTATTTATTTATTTATTTAATTAGTTAATTACCCACAACAGGGCAAAGCCCAATTATAGTAGGTATTACAAGGTAAAAACAAACAAAAAAAATCATCACTTTCAAATGAAATCACAGAAATCCAATCAGAAGAAAATATATTTTTACGAAAATTGATCAAACATAACACACCAGTAAGATAAAGAAAAAGGGAAAAATTACACGTTTAAAAGAGTCATTAGAAAAAATATAACAAAAATGAACATACAATGACAATATTACAAATATGGTAAACGTATCTTCAAACTAATCTGATTATCAAAGCGAGCAACACTTAAATTAATTTATCTTCATTTAGTGATTATACAATATTTTTATTAAATTTTGCTTATATTTTAGAAAAGAAAAACTGAAGTCTAAATCCCACACTTCACCCATTTCATTGAATTTCGTGGATATTCTCAAGAGTGGTGAATGTTTTTGTGCGATGAAATTGGGTGCGGTTTGTTAAAATATAATATTTATCTTCCTCTCAAATTAATCGTGCATTAAATGACAATTGTGACAGAAATTCACTGTTATCTGATAGATTATTGACTACTTTAAATAAAAATAATTGTTTTGTAAAGACTCTTCTATTGGCAAGAGTAGTTAGATTAATTTTTTTAACTAAAATATTATAAGAAATGTCATAAGCAGATTGCTTAAACTTTTTGTAATAAATTCATTGAGAATAGTTTTCGAATTTTTTTTCAATTTGATTACTTAGTAATATGCAATAAGGAGACTAAATAACTGAGGTGTATTTCAATTTGATGCTCAAAAGACAATTAAAGAGGAGTATTAAACTCGGCACCATGGAAATTCTTGGAATTTCTAATAATAATACCAAGATTTTTTAATGCATTATTTGTTATATTAAATACGTGTTGATGGTGGGTCAGGTTATGTTGATTTGTAGCACCTATGTATTTTACAAATTAAACACATTCTAATGATTCAATATTCATTGAGTAACTTGTTCTTATATATGCTTTATTTCTTGTATAAGTAATGAAGCAACATTCTTTAATATTGAAGTATCAATGATTTTCAACAATATTTGCGAACAGATGTTTGCCATTTTAAAATCTAACTAGAACGAAACATCTTTATTTGTTTTCTATTGCCTTTTTACATTCCGTGGGCAAGCCAGAACATAGTTCTGACAAGGTACAAAAATTAAAAATGTGTTAAGTCTAAGAAAATTACTTCTCTGGTATTGTTGTAAGTTATTATCTAAGTAATATAGAGTGAACAATACGTTAAAATGAAGTATTTTTACTTATTGAAAATAAATTATTTTCTCAGAAAGTACATTTTTATGCAGTGATTACCCAAAATCATAAGCCATTCATCCGCTTTTTTTTTCGAAATTTTAACAATGATATTGATATTTGCTGTCGTTCAAACATAATTTTATCCCATGAGATTATTTTCCCCTTGAGAGATCCCATGAGACCCATTTTTGAGAATGCATCACTTATCTTAATAGAATTTTTTGCCTGTTCCGTAAATAAAACACTAAACCAAAACCTCTCCCCATGCTATCGATAAATTATAAATAATATACTATGATATTGAGGCTATGAAATTAAGTTGTATGTGTGTAATAAAAATAAGTGTGAATGTAATGTAAGTATGAAAATTTAGCTGTTTGGGGGTATATGTGATTTGAATTAGTTGTACGTCTATAGCAGAGTTTCCAATTTAACATTTCATTAATAATCAAAGGAACAAAATTTAAATGAGTACATAATTTATTTTCGGAAATAATTTCTTGATGTACCTTCATTATCTGAGATGACAGAAATTGGGGGATAAAAAAAAGAGATTTAAACCTTTCTAAACCGAAATAAAGTGTATTGGGTCATATGCGTTACACAATGTACATTGTGTAACACACGTGTAAAAGAAACACAGGGTTCATTGTGAAGAAATTTATTATATAATACAATCAACAAAATAAACTGTTAGTTTTAATTTTGTTTTTCATTTAGTTTTTATTTTCTGTCTGCATGTTTCGTGATCAAAATGCATTTCTAAATCAAGCATTTTAATTACTTAAATAATTAGAATGCAGCAGCTTAGTCATGCCGCTGAGATTTTTTTCTGTTAAATCGTATAATAATTTTCATCTTTTAACAAGGCCTTTTATTAGACACTAGGAGAATGTTAGATAAACTACTGATATTGAGAATATTACGAGTTGGCACAAATTAGTAAAAGATAGAGCTCCAATCAAATAATCAAAATCCAAGATTGTGCAATATCTCTGAGTGAACTTCGTTATGTGTCGCATTCATTACCGATTTGTATTGAACAGCGCTCCGTATCGGCAAATTGTGTTACTAATTTCAAATACCGTAGATTTTGAAGTGCCGATTAGTACCAACAGAGGTCGTGAGAGTAGTAGCTAAGTCGGTTGAGAGTTTGATTTCAAAATTAGTTCAAAGGCGTTATGAAACTCCAGAAGCAGGTACTGTAAGGTACAGATACCGGGTATTTTACTTGCATTACTGCAGGTACAGATAAAAGCATAATTATGAATTTAGTGCACGGCAATCTACTTTTATTATCCAATTTCAATTTATTAAATATATCAAAGTCATAATTTGTTGTATAAATTTAATTTATTTTCCTTTCATTGTTCGCAACTGTTGACGTTGACACAAGATGGAATGAGATACAAAGGACACAAAAAGTATAGTAAGAATTAAGTTTTCATATTCTTGAAGATATTCTACTGTAGTCATCCTCGCATCATATATTGAGAAAAAAATACACCAGGTTTTTGAAACAATAAAATCTCACTGGCAAGATTGCTTCGGTTTATCTAGAACACATTTAATGTAGGTAATTTCTGCTACTGTAGAAAAACTTATACTCTTGATAGCAATACAAGGATATTGACATGTTTGGACAACTCCAACTTGTAAGTCGGACATAAAGAGATTTCACTATTTTTGATATTACATTTATATTGACGGCATTTGTGAATGGAAGGAAAGATGTCGAGAATTGGCTCCTTTAATAAAACGTGTTTAATTACGTTAAAACAATTCCTGCAACAACTTAAGATGTATAATATTTGCATAACGAAACGTTGAGAATTTTGTTTGCAATTCTAATAGAATTTTTACAATACGTAAACATGTTACCGAATGTTATCTGCAGTGATGATGTGATTTGAGGAAGTCAGTGCGTTTATAATATTCTCAGACATTTTTCATTGTACTTATTTTAATAACGCGTAAGGCTTTTTAGAACTAATTCCGGCCACTGTCAGTGCAAACTGTGGTGGATGTGTGCCGGCATACTTTGCAAATATGATTTGCTAATGTGAATCAGGATACGTAAGATTTGGGGAATAAAACGTTTTATGAGTTCATAACTGTGTCGCAGAATTATAATAATTATTGATAAGAGGTAAAATTATTTTTCGAATATTAACAGATTTTTAACAAATATCGAAAATGTGAAGAAAACATTATTATTACACATTATTATTTCGTGTCAAATTATTTTTCAACTCTTTACATCGTTTGGACTATATACTATTTTGATCGACTCCACTTCGGAAAGTATTCTAATGCAACATGAAAATGAATGTGATACTCATCGAGTAACGATACTCATCGCGTAAATTCCTACTCGTCCGAAATAGTGTTTTGATAGACAAAAGTTAGTGAAAATTATTGGGATACTTACTTAGTATAGCTTTTTCAATGCCAATACGTCCATTTCATGATTATCGATTAGGTGCCAAAGACAAAAATAACAGATACATTATTTGAAACAACTTCTACAGTTCAAAACACATCTACAATTTTACAAACGTTTTCAACAGTTCCGCGGTAAAATAAATTGAGTGCAGTTAGTGCAACAGAAAATTAATCATTAACTAGCTGTACATCTAATAATAGTCCTACTCTTATAAATTGTGTGTTTGGAAACCAATCACATTGCTAGAAGTAAGCTGTAACCAGATGAACATGAAAAACTGTACTAAGAATTTTCTTCAACTAGAATCGTTTTTACGTACGAGTAAATTTAGAAATAAACTACTGATAAAATAGATGTACTTATGCTTTCTGCCATTGATGTATATTCTTATTATCAGGAGAAATACTAATAATGATTCATATTCCTTCCTCAATGAAACCGCACTGGGTTGGTTTGGATGAGAGCTTTACTAGAGTTTCTGATTACACTCTTGTTTTACTACGTATCCATTCACGATATGATGCTACGGA